CATGATTTGACGCTTCCTAATTAGGTTCTTCGTTTCTTGGGAAAGCTTGCCAGTGTCCTGTCTAACTACCCGGCCTCCAACTTCCACTGCACACTCCGTAATGATACTCGTCAGATTATCATTCATTGTATCTACGCTAAGGTTGGTTTCCTCACTAAGAGCCGAATACCTGTTCTGCAGCGACACTCTGAATTCCTGTACTTTCCCTCTCAGTGCTAGCTGATTGATTGGCTTCTTGCGTATCAGTTTCTGTCGTTCCTTCTTCAAGTCTAGGCGAATTCGAGACCGTACCATTCTATGGTCACTGCATCGTACCTTGCCAATCACTTCCACATCCTTAACGATTCCAGGGTGTGCACTCATTATAAAGTCTATTTCGTTCTTATTTTCGCCATTAGGGCTCCTCCATGTCCACTTGCGGTTTTCTCGTTTTCGGTAGAAGGTATTCAAAATCCGTAAATTATTGCGTTCTGCGAATTCTACTAGTAGCTCTCCTCTGGCGTTTCTAGTACCAATGCCATAATCTCCTACTGCCTGGTCTCCAGCCTGCTTCTTCCCTACCTTTGCATTAAAGTCGCCCACAAACACACATACACACACACACAATAAGGTTTTTTTTCTCTCTCTCCCGGTGTTTGGATATTATGGACTTCGGGTGAAACGGGCCCATTTTGCCAGATTATGATGGTCGATTTTAACAAGAGTAATCTGTAGTTGTGAGCTCCTTCGCTACCATGGGAAAGGGACCGTTTTTACTAGGTGTAAAAAACATTTTTTTTTGCAAATGGACACTAATGCGTTATTTACATTCTTTGGTACCAAAGTGTAGCTAAAAGAATGTTCTGTCCAATAACACAAACATTGCATGTATACTTGTTATGCACACTTGGAAAAAAATGTTTATAATGAAAATTTTACGCAATGATCATACAAATAACACTTTAAAAACGAGGATAATATAAAAGATGAGGTTAAAAATAATTCAAAATATGTTGCAAAAAGGTTGTACAAGTTTTAAAAGTTATTGCCAAAAGCTGTTCTTTCCACAAAAAAGAAAGTTAGTGAGGGTGCAGCAGTATATAGGTTACCTTGTGCAACTTACCATCACGGACAGGGTCTGTCTGCTCAGAGTCCATGACACTGAGAAAAGCAAGGAACAAAAATAACCAGCTTCTGGGCATAACTTCGAAGGAATGAGGCCCAAATATAACTATGAGGTATTCCAGTAGAGATGAAGGTGAGGAGATTCAACATTTCCCATGTAGATGAGAATTTCAATGTACTTCATCACTTGATCAGGACTGAAGAAGTTCCTCCTCAAATTCTCTCTTTTCACGTATGTCTGCCTCTCTAAAATATGCATCCATGCATATTTGTTGGTGTAGTTGCAGATCATACTGGTTAGATGATTAGCGAAAGACAGCTGGAAGGAATCGATGGCCCGGACGAAGCGTCCTGCGTTACCCTGGAGTGTGCGTCTAACTTCAACTCCTGGGTTTTGTCTCTAAAATTACTGCACACGCTTTACAGAGGCCAGCAAGGAATCATGTCCGTAGGAAATTGAGGCCCTCAAAATGAGTAAAATTGCTGTGAGTACATACTCTGCCACCCGTAACTACTAATTAGACAACAAAATGTGTGCCACACATACAGCTGACACTCGCTCAATGTTCCGGCTTGACTTGACGCATCTTCGTCATCGGTGATGAAATTTTGTGTCAACATCTTCTCCAGGCTCACTGCTGCTGATTTGATTCTCGAAATCTGCTGTTGATGCGCTCAATTCGCGAGAACCACGTCGTCTTTTAGGAACCTCTATATGGGAAACAGACTCCATAATCGGCGCTCTTCCCCAAAGCAAAAAACAACCAAAACATTGCAGATCTTGTGTATTTCCTACTTTCTTACCTACATGGCGTTAGATGCCCACAAACTCTGTGAGCACGCGAGAATTTAAACTTGAAATGCATTGTTCAAATTGAACAATTTTAAAGGGCCAGTAAACAGGCTCCCAACTCTTTTACACCCTCCATACAAGCTCGGTAATTTGTAGATTAGACCGCAGCGATCACGTTTTCTGAATATTACAGTGCTGTGCGCCGCGCCGAGCCTATATTTCAAAAAACAATTCCCATGCATTTTTTCTACGCCTGACCCGACCCCCTTGCACGTGCAGTGACGTCAACTCGGCGATCCGCGACGTGACATAGCACACTGCTCGCCGAAGCAGCTCGCTGATTGGTCTAAGTCAGGTGTGAAAAAACAGTAGTGAAGTCAACGTCAGTTCCTGTTCCCACCCACAGTGACGAAGCTGCCCCTTGTTTCTTGGCACTGCGGGGAAAGAACCAGCCTCACAGTTGTCGCGTGCACATGTACACTTCTCACTCAACTACAGTGCCTGTGCACACGTACTAACGTATTTCGCCCTTGACATGAGCAACAGGGGTAAAAAGCATTGCTCTGTCGTCAGGTGCAAATCGAGCGACTGGGCAGCGGAGAAACATCGGCAGCGGGTGTCTCACGATGGGGCCCTGCGTGCTACATGGCTGAAGCGAATCGGCCATTCAGGGACGTACGTCGGGGAGCTGATCGTTTGTGGTCAACACTTCGCACCTGACGCTTACACGGTTGACTCGCGGCTGGTGCGGCAAACGGTAAACAAACAACCACGCTTCGCAGCAAGCGGAAGTGCGCTGCATTTGATCGAGTTCGCCGATGACGTCAATCGCTGATGTGGTGTCACGTTGCCAAAGTGGACGGAGTCACGACGATGGGCTACGCCTTCCCCTTCATGGAAGGGAGAAGGGGGGCAAGGCCGCGCGAAAATTTGAAACCAGCTTAGACCGATGTTCTAACCCCTGTAACTTCTTCATAATAGCATGTATTTGCAAAATTCTTGCGCCAGCATGTTCGCAAAGAAAAACTGCACATATATCTCTTTTAAAAAAATTTTTGGACCTCAAGTTGTGGTCCTTTAAAAAAAGTAATGAAGAAAAAAAAAACAGTATTAAAAATGCGAACCCTGCATGGAACATGCAGCACTGTCACAGCGAGGGCCAGCCTAACAGTTCTTCTTGAACACTGTTAGGGCAACTACTACACACACACACCCTTGCATGATACCTGATATGCAATGAATCATAATTTTTGGATACTGGAAAAGTGTCCACTATGCAATTCTTCGCCATTATTTGGAAAAAGCACGGTACCCGCTGCGCAATTGTAAGGCATTATGTGCACTTTGTTGATGCCGTGGCTGACGATGACAAAAAATTTCTCCTGGGGCTTTTATAATAGGTTGGAGCATTGGACAACCCTCTCATTATGTAATTTGCATTGTGTGAATCCTGGCTTTTCCTTTGATGTTACAAAAGGCTTCATTACTCGTATTATGCTATTCCTCGCCCAACATGAAGCTCACATAGGCTCTGTTTGCAACAAAGTTTCAAGCAGTGATGTAGCTCAGTGGTAGAGTACTGGGCTGGTACGCAGAGGGCCCAGGTTCGATTTCCTATGGGGCCTCGGTAGATTCGTTGTCGTTGTTGTTGTTGTTGTTGTTCTTTTATTGCGGCTTCGGTGGGTTTTTTTTTTTTTTTTTTTTCACTCGATATTGGTTATGGACACCGGCAGCAAGGGACAACTACAGCGCCATAATCGGCCTTGTTGTGATCTCATGGCAGCATTCACTGTGAAATGGGAAAGAGGGGCGCATGGTCCATCGTGTCCTTTCATTCTGTGTTCATTTTGTAATTTATTATGAAATGCCTAAGCCGTTATCAGCATCCATTAATGCCAGAAGGCCATGCGATCTGATCTCAAGTTCATGGTGGGCATTGATATCAAATCAGTGATATTATGAAAAGCGATAGCAATCTTGCGACTGAGTACATTTTTAAAGGAGATTATTATAAGATTTACTAATTTATTGTTATTGCACTCTCAAGCAGACTGGAGCAAGTGTAAAATATAGATACATGATATTCGAAAAAGGCCCAGTTATATAAAAAAATAAAGCTAAGGCACTGAACAAGGAATACAATGGAATTAAATAGCAAATAGTAATTCTAAAACAAAAACACAAGAACAAGCTGAAGAAACACAAAAGTAATGTAAACTTGAAGGAGTAAATTTATCGGATAGTCAAATTGTACAAAATTATACAACAAATAGGAACGAATCAAGCAAATATATTCAGCGATGCTAATGAACTATTTTTGAAAGAAAGAAGGCGAGTCTTGCGTTGTAATGTTATCAGTTAGGCTATTTCAGTCAACAATAGTTTAAGGGAAAAAAGAGTATTTTAAGTTATTTCATAAAAATAGAGGTGTTATCGTGAAATAATGTGTTTGCATGGTTGCATACTCTTAGAATAAGGGATAACGGGGAGGTGTCTTGTTGTAATGTCCTTTAACCCTTTAATGCCTGAAATAATAAACTGCGGAAAAAAATAAAAATTTTTATTTTCCAGCTTTAAGTAGCTACCTTTAAATCATTCTCCAGTTAAATTATCAGAAATTCAACTTTAATGCATACTTTTATGCATGTCATGAATTCTCGATGTGCCACAGAAGCGACAAAAAACATACTTCAGAATTACACAGCATGTCGTGTGCCATCTCTTAGTTGCATACACACTCAATAAAATTAATAAAGATAGAACTTGCGTCATTTAGGCGAGAAAGAACGAAGATGTGAGAGCTGCTAAACGCACTTTGCGCTCTTGGTCATCAGATACAAAACATTTGGTTATCAACTGATTATCCTTCAAGGTTGTAGCTGGAACTGGATTGAAGTTCTCACTGGCCACAGTGGCCTCCACCACATGGTTCTGGCTGGCATTGTCATTGTTCAGTTGGGCCATATCTTGAATCCTCCACTACTATGTGCCTCATCATCATACTGTGGTTTTGGTACCCCAGATGTTATTATTATTGCCTTTAGATGCTTCTATTGTCTATTAGTACTTAAGCTGCCTCTGTCTTTTTTTTTTAATTATGCAGCCCAGCTGTTCCTTAAAGGTGACCAACTTTACCAGGTCACGCTCCGACACTGATGCATCCATCATGAATGCCTTACAAAAATGTAAGAGAACCCACGCCATGCGGCTAGTGAAACGAAACAAGTATGCATTGACATTTTTGTTTTCCAGCTACTGATGATCCTGATCTCATAGGAGATTACACAAAGGTGAGACGTTTTTCGTAGGTAAGAATGAAAGTAAGGTATGATGGTAACTCTCACTCTTTTTCTTTAGCCTTACGCCTTGCCTTTGGTGAAGGGAAAGCATGATGATCTCAAGATGATACGCCCATCCACTGTAAGTATATGCATATTCATGCTTTCTGTAGACACTGACTGCACTGGTTCCCCAATGTTTTGTTGTGCAGCTTGCTGATGTCTTGCGAGGAAAGTATGACTCTGTTGTGGACGACTACATGGTGATTGACTGCCGTTACCCTTTTGAGTTTGATGGAGGACACATACAGGTGAGAATAAATTAGCTACAGTGTGTTGCTTTTCCAATTTGGGAGACAGGTTGGTCAACCTGAAGTATTGATGCTTCATACGTCCTCATAATCATTTTGAATGCTTTAGTACTTCATAGTGAGTGTTAACATTGTCACGCATGTTTATTGCTATATTTTGATGCGCTCAGGTTTCACCCGCAAAGACTGTTAGCAGCTTCGTGATTGTTTGAGATCATTCGGTTAAGATTATGTGCAGGAGACAAATAGTGAAGTTTGTATCTAAGAGCAAACATTAGCACCAGCGGTAATACTTGAATGTTCGAGGCCTGATGTATAAATGGCAACGCGCCTCACTGCAGGTCAGTTTACTGGATGACCGATGACTGTTCTGGCTGCTTTCAGTTCACAGCATATATTGCTTGCATTTTGAGTTTGTTTTTTGAGTGCACGTTTGTGTAAGTAACATTTCGTCTTGGACAAGCAGACTGCTGCCTTCATCAGCATCACAATCACGTGACAATATGGCTCAAATGTTTCTTGGAAATATGCACATCTCTTTCAATGTTTCATTCATTACGAAAGTTGGGCAATCTATCATCTCTGTTAACTTGAACCCAAAATCAAAATAAAATTGTCTTGTTACAATTTCAATTTATTATCACCAGGGGTGCAACAGCTGCGCCAATGGCACCAATTCGATACTATTTTCGATTGTTGTGCCGAGCTGCGCCAAAACTGTAAAATTTGCTGAAATTGTGCCGCGCTGTGCCAGATTGCCCAGCTAGCTTCAAAATTTTCTCAGGTGCGCTAATTTCGCAGGCCACATCGGCCACCTGCAGTTTGCGCCATCCGTCAAAACACGCAAACCCTAATTATAGTGCCTAGAATGTACTTAAAATATGACCAGGTAAAGTAGTAACAACACTGCGCACCCATCGGTCCGTTGACCACAGCAGATACATATCAGTGAGACGACGCAGATTGAAGTAAAAAATGCAATGCTGTAGCCACCAACACTTCATGGGAAGTGTAAATTTTCTAGCCTGAAAATGCGGGTATGGCTTGTCGGGAACTAAAACTGGAAGCCTCTGCCGCGTTTTCCTCGCGCAAGCAAGCTCAACGCACTGCGAATGCCAGCGTTACCAGCGACCACGTCGATTGCCTTAGCAGTGGCACATAAAACTTTTTTTGTTTTGTTTTGAAGTTGCGTCGTCCAGGCCACGGTCCTGGCAATATCTGGTACCGCTGCCGGGCCAACGGGCACATGCCGTTGTTAGTTTACCTGGTAGAATGCATTAAGGGAATGCATTGAATTGTGCACCAGTTTTTTTTTTTTTTCACCACTCCTACTTCTCGATTTTACGAATCTCCCAAATTTCAAGGTCTTGCACTTGGTAGATCTGTATTTAAATTCGCAGAGTCTGTCAAATGATTCGACAAAGCAGATGCTAATATGAACTATCATTCTTTGCCCCGTGAGATGGTTCAAAATACTTCTCTCATTGAAATAGCAGTGCTCATGTTCACACTGCCTGATTTAGGTGATGTTAAATGGTTTTTACTTTTTTTTTTCGAAATGTAAACCTTTTTGTTTATATTGCTTCAAATCTGGTATTTCACGATAAAGAAATGTATGATATTTTTTCCCCGTAACCTGCTCCTAATCAGGATTTTAGTGCTCCAAAGGTAAAATTTTGCTGCTCCAAAAATTGCTCCAAATTGTATTTTGGCTGTTACATCCCTGTATCACCAAGTTCATACTTGGTAATATAAAAAGAGTTCTGTTTTTTTTGCTTTTGTGCTTTGTATTCCTGGCGCACTAAATATTTGCTTGATGGTTGGCTGCTTTTTCCAGAATGCCATAAATTTGTACAGCTCTGAGCACATCGTGTCAGAGTTACTGGACAAATCTGCATCAAACACCGATTCCCGCCGAATCTTGGTTTTTCACTGCGAATTCTCTTCAGAACGGGGTCCAAAGCTGTGAGTAGTGTACTCTGCCATCTGACATAGCAAAGCATAGTTGTCAGCATAGTTCGTGGACTATTTATTTTATGTCTACTGTAAAACAAAGGTTTTTTTCTAAGATCTCCAGTTTGCCCCATCTTGTGCGAGCTGATTTCATTTTGTCCCTGTGAACTTAATTTCATTGCTCCATCTAACTTGTTGTAGTCCTCGGCTTCTCTTCTCTTCCCTTAACCACTTTTAGCTTTAACTGACCACCGATCATCTATCTTGTGCACTAAGTGGCTGGCCCAGGTCAGTTTGGTATTATGAACTAGAACATCAGCTACACCTGTTAGCTGTCTGATCCATTCTACTGTCTGCCAATCTCTTGATGTTACATCTGGTAAATTTTCTGTTTCAATGTGCAGTATGTGGTCGTTAACATTTTCTTGAGTTTCTTTATTAGCCTTCTTGTTCTAGCTCCATATGTTGGAGATGGAAGTATGCAGTGATTGTACACATACCTTGCACTTTAGGGACAGTGGTAGATTACCTGTAATCATTTCGGAATGCCTGTCACAAATGCTTGTGCCATCCTTATTGGTCAGTGAATTTCTTTTTCCTGGGTAGGGCTTTCCTGTTGGTAGCTAATCGAGGTGTATACTCTGTTATACAGTCTCTAAAGGTTTGTTGTCAATTGCAAATATTTTTTCTTTATCTGGGCTGATAGAGTGTGGAAATAGCAAAATATTTGGTGAGCAACGAATTTGAATATTGAAGCGTGAGGGCAAATTGAATCACATATTTTTCGAATGCATCTAGAGTATTTCTAGAATGTTTGTCAAATACTTCGAAGCGAAATAGCCCAAAAAACAATGTTGGAGACGATTCTTAAGCATATTCTTATAAGATAGCAGCATGAAAGTGCTTCTTTTAGTTTGGCTGATGAAGCACTGGCAGGGTGGTGTTTTGTAGTTGTCTTACAAAGAATTAGGCATGATTCCCGACAAATTTTAGACACGAAAGGCGAAGATGCTATTTTCTCAGCGTCTCCTCCTTTTTCAACTTCTGTGGAAGCCGTACTGGTGTGGCGGACAGGGATGTGCTCCCTTGGAGTCCGTAGTTCTAAATCTGTCTCCTAGGTGTCAATATATACGAGCATCTGAAATTCTAGATGCCAATATATATATATATATATATATATATATATATATATATATATATATATATATAGTTATAAACTTCGAGAATAGTGCAGTATAGGAAACAAAACAATAAAATGTTTATTTAATCCTAACAGTTTCGGCTGGTGGACCAGCCTTCTTCGGAGGATGTAAGTGAAATTATATATATATATATATATATATATATATATATATATATAAAAATAAAGGGAAAGAAGTGTATACCTAAGGGCTCGTTTTTCCGTGTTTTAACACAAAATTAATGAGATCTAACAGACAGTAATTCCAAGGAATGTACAGGGGAAGTTATTAGAACCAATGGAATGTAAATAAGAAGAAAGAAAGAAAAGTGGATGAAAAATAACCAGCCGTGAGCAGGAAACGAACCTACGACCTTCGAATAACGCGTTCGATGCTCTAACCACCGAGCTACCACAGCGGCCTTCCCTCCATCCACTTTTTTGGGTTTATATGTGAATTTAGAAGTAGGAGTGACAGTCAGCGCCATCTATAAGCCAAACGACGAGTGTGAAAACACTCTTATGCGCATGTTTGGCGTCACGTAGCACGTGAACTTATTATGAGCGGGCAGCTGATTAATTGTCCCTCTTATACAACCTAAACACACCAAGTCTGCCAGTACGAGACCCTCGTTCAATGAAATAAGAGAAAGAAGTGTATACCTAAGGGCTCGTTTTTCCGCGTTTTAACACAATATTAATGAGATCTAACAGACAGTAATGCCAAGGAATGTACAGGGGAAGTTATTAGAACTAATGGAATGTAAATAAGAAGAAAGAAAGAAAAGTGGATGAAAAAATAACCAGCCGTGAGCAGGCTGGTTATTTTTTCATCCACTTTTCTTTCTTTCTTCTTATTTACATTCCATTAGTTCTAATAACTTCCTCTGTACATTCCTTGGCATTACTGTCTGTTAGATCTCATTAATATTATATATATATATGTATATATATATATATATATATATCAGCTGAAAGGCAGCTTCGCCACATTACGAGAGTGTGGTGGAATGAATTATATTGAGAAACTGAAGGGGCCAGTGTCGATCGGGCATTGACTGTTGTACGTATTTGTCTTCGGGAACGTTAAATAGTAAAGTTCTGCTATTAATTGAATCAAATAGCAAGCACTATTGAAAAAAGTAATCGAAATTTCAAATATTTGTACACCCCTATGGTTAATCATTACTTTTGTCTTAGCATATTCATTTGCACCCCTGCTTTGATACTTTCTCTGTTTGCATACTCAGTCATTTTTTTTTTAATTTGTCACCATCATTGCTGAAGAGCATTACGTCATCTATAACTCTTAAGTTATTGAGGTATTTTTCATTACTCTTCCTTCGTGCTTCCTCCTGGTTCAGTTGTTTGATTACTTGTAGCAATGCTGCGATTGTAGAAAGTAAATCTGCTTGTCTGGAGCCTTTTTCAATCACAATTTTTTGGTGTTTTTGTGCCAAGGCTGGGCAGCTGTTAAGCTTTTTTTGGATGTTAGCTATGGTATTTATATGTGTTACAAGTGCCCCTTGGGGACTTCAACAGTGCATGTTCAGTCTCTGCCGGTGGCAATTCGTCTTTTCATCCACTCTAATTTCTTCAATTTATATCGTAAATACTACAAATAATGTCCCCTGCACTTTCCTTGATTTGTCTATTGGTTGTCATTTTTGTTCAATTTCATTCAGCGATCGATGGCTTACCTGAGAACTCTACAGTTTCAAGTAGACGTTTTCTGCTACCCGCACTATGTCATTGAAATCACTCGTGTAACTCTGCCTTGCTTATCTTTCAAAGTGTGCATTTTGGTCCTCTTTCACACAACAAGCCGTTGTAATTACCTTCGTTTTTAGCCAGCTTTGCACATGATATTTTCATAATATTCTAAATAAAAATGTTATTTTTATAAGACTACAATAGTTGTTTTATTATGCATCATTTTACTTGTATTCTGAACCACAATTTTCTTTACTGTTCTGCTGGAATGAATAGCCATTTTATAGCACATACAATTAATTCAATTAGGCTACTTAGCAGCGCTGTTCTGTCTTGGTGGCATTGTCAGCAGAGCTGGACACTGCTTGCTTGCCTGTTTACAGGCCACGTTTTGCTCTGAACAATTTTTGTCAAGCCAATTATAAGTAGTTCCTGTTGCCTGCTCATCTATGAACGCTCACTGGGTGTGTTGTCAATTTACATCATATTTTTTTTTTTTACACAGGCTGTTTATTCTCGTAGAATATGTGTTTTGGTTGAAGCCCAAAGCAGGATGGAGTACTGCAGCTGTCAGTGTCGGTTGTTATACTTTGATAAGACCTTGCAGCATTGTTGGATTTCAGGATCTGAACACACTTCAATGCAACCATGTGACAGCAATTTATAAAGCTAGCTGTACTTTTTTTTCTTACAACACAGGTCACGTTTGCTCCGTGAAAAGGACAGGCAAATGAACGAGGCGCAGTATCCTGCCTTAAAGTATCCTGAAATATATGTCCTTGAAGGTGGCTATAAGGCATTCTACAACGAATTTCAGGTGAGCTTTGCAGTGGTTCATTTATGTGCTGCAATGGCTTTTTTTTTTTTCTGAATTATCGGCTGGTTCAGCCTAATTACCTTCTACAGTGCATGCTTTGCGTGCTAGCTGTTATTGTTAAAAGACCCCTGACTGTAGAAAGTTTTGTTTGCGGCTTTTTTATAGTAATTTAGAGCTTTGGATCTGGTGATCGTAAATTCTCTAGTGCATCATAAAATTAATTCTGGCACTGTTAATTCAGATCGCTTAAGTGTCAGTTTGAAATGCCCGCCTAAGAAATTTTAGGGAACTAGCGCCCCACAGCAAGGGAGCGCCTGAGACTGTGTGCTCAAGCTTCGGTGACCTTGAACGAGCAGTTTTCAAATTGGGGGACCCGTGGTCGGTAAAGAATGAAACGATTGGGTGCTTTGAGCATGTTTGTGTGTGTGTCCCTTCTGCAAAAAAAGAAAAGCATTCTTGGCGTAAGCAGCCTAAACCACCTTGAGAGCAGCCCGACAACAGAGCGAGAGGGTTGACAAACAACAGTCCTCGCCTGGTGCCAGTGGCGCATTGCATGTGTCCCACAAATGTTCTCTGATCTTGACAATATTTGCCTTACTCGTGGAATATCACGCGGGCCCTCTGTCTACATCAACCGGAGGTGTCAATTGGTGCTGATATTATCTTATAGGCAATGCTCGTCACTTATATCGGTCACCAGTACACCCGCATGTAGAACTCTCAAACAACACAAGCATCTTGAGTTTCCAAACTTGACGTCAGGGGGCCCTAGGACCACTGACACCAAGTTTGGAAACTCAAGATGATTGTGTTGTTTTGCCAAGATACGTGAAATTTAACTGCACTGCTGTTGTGCTGCTTTGAGAAGGTGAGCTTAACTGCCATAGCTTAGAATTCAGCTTGCTAAACTGGAGCATTTGTACTCCTCCTCGCCACTTCCGTTCAGCACTGACAAAGTTACGTGCTTTAAGCAAGCCACATGCTTGCGCAGGAAAACATAGTTCCAGATATAATCGCCTTGAATTTGGCAAGGTCGAGACATATGCCCTTGTTTTGCATCCACTGCTGTGCATCAGTAAGTAATATGTTTATTATTATTCATTGCATTTTTGGTGTATTTTTTTAATTGTTGTATTAATAACCGCCGGTAATCATGATTTAAAATCAACATGGCACCACCCATGCAGACGCAATCATAGAGTTTCCTAATATGCACTAGAGGGAACTCTGGTGCTAGTGTCTATGGGAGCTGCAACGCACAGCGCTTCAGCGAGCATGGGAATGATGGGTAGTACACACATTTGTCTAATTTTCTTACTTCTGGCCTGCTTCTGGCTCCGTGTGTGTTCGTGTGGCTTGGAGCAGTTTTTTTACAAAAGAAAAATTAGCAAATGTTCAGCGTTTGCGCTTCACAACTTTATTCTTTTAGGCTTACAATTTCGAATCGGGTCACGAAGTTCAAAAGGGTTCGTTCCGTCCTTTAAAACAAAACCGTAACCAGCAATAAACGAAGCTGCAAGTACGATTCGCCGCCTGCAAGTACAAAGACTAGACAAATGTGTGTACTAGCCATCATTCCCATGGTCGCTGAACGATCGCAGCGCCAGAGTCCCCTCTAGTTAATTTTAGGAAACTCCATGGACGCAATCACCTGCTTCGATCCAAACTTGCCCTTGACGCTCCCCTAAAGCACTCACAGCAACAAATAAGAGGTGTGATACTAATGAGCAATCGGGTTGTGCCACCTCATGATCCAAACAAGCATCAGGTATGCTCTGTCGTTATTGGCGAGACAAGCTCTTAGAACCATGTCAATTATATGTCACGCATATTAATCTCGGAAGCGCTTGCGATGGATGGAGCAACGACTCCTCTAGAAAGATGCCTGAGGAATGGCTCGCGTTCCCAGCGGAGTTGGCCTGCCTTCAGTTTCAAACAAGCTCCGCGCGGTGGCGCTCGCGACCGACACTGTCGTTCTCACTGTTCTCACTGACGCAGTGCATCGAAATAGCAGAAAAGGAACACAGGCTCCTGTGGCTAGCATTTTTGGATATCAAGGGAGCGTACGATAGCGTGGTTCAAGAGGAATTGTGGGGAATACTGGACACACTGTGAAACATGTAGTCACTAATCTTTTAAAGAGTATCTATAAAGGTAACAAGGTAGTTAGAAAGTGGGAAAAACAGGTATCCAAGCCTGCAGAGGTAAAACGGGGGCTTAGGCAGGGGTGTCCCCTGTCACCCTTATTATTCATGATGTACCTACAAGGATTAGAGGCCAAATTAGAGAAGTGGACTGGGCTTCATCCTCTCTTTAGTCAAACAAGGAAAACTTATTGATCAGGCACTACCAGCATTAATGTACGCAGATGATATAGTGCTAATGGCCAGCAACAAGGAAGATTTGCAGAGATTGATGGACATCTGCGGTAATGAGGGAGATAGGTTAGATTTTAGATTCAGTAAGGAAAAATCAGCAGTCATGATTTTCAATGACAACGAAAGTAGTGAGCTTAGAATACAGGAGGTCACGATAGAGATAACAGATGAATACAAATATCTGGGTGTATGGATAAGCAATGGGACCGAGTACCTGAGGGAACACGAAATATACGTGACGACTAAAGGTAACAGGAATGCAGCAGTGATGAAAAATAGGGCACTGTGGAATTACAATAGGTATGATGTTGTAAGAGGAATATGGAAAGGGGTCATGGTTCCTGGGCTGACGTTCGGCAATGCGGTCTTGTGCATGAGATCAGAAGTTCAAGCAAGATTAGAAATTAAGCAACGTGGAATAGGTAGGCTTGCTTTAGGAGCTCACGGGAATACACCAAATCAGGGAGTACAAGGTGATATGGGATGGGCATTATTTGAGGGCAGGGAAGCTAGCAGCAAGATAAAATTTGAGAAGCGATTGAGAGAAATGGGGGAGGAGCGTTGGGCTAGGACGGTTTTCAGCTACTTGTACATGAAGAATGTCGATACAAAATGGAGGAAGCGAACCAGGAAATTGACTGGTAAATACTTAGAAAACAGCAGGTGGCCAAACCAAAAAGAACTATCGGTTAAGAAGAAAGTGAAGGAAACGGAGACTGACATGTGGAGAATGGGCATGATTAAGAAGTCCGCACTAGTTATCTATCGAACTTTTAAGCAGGAAATTGCCAAGGAAAGGATCTATGATAATACTCCGGGTAGTTCTCTACTGTTTGAGGCCAGGACGGGAGTACTGTGAACCAAGACATGTCGGGCCAAGTACGAAGGGGTAGACACAGTATGCAGTGCGTGTGGAGAGGAAGAAGAAACTGCCGAACACTTAATAATGTTCTGTAAAGGGCTTCACTGTATAGTTCAGGATGATGGCGCAGAGTTTTTTCAAAGCACTGGGGTTTAGGGACTGGGAGAGCAAAATAGACTTTAAGCGGGTAGACTTAATTAGAAGGAGGTTATCTGATTGGTGGCTAAAGTCAAGGCATCCTCAAACTCACTTTTCAAAGAAAAAAAAAATAAATCTAGTTTTTAGTTCATTAAGTGTTACGGCTTGGTGGCGCTAGCCACCGCCCGATCTAAAGGGTACAGCCATATCCATCCATTCATCCATCCATCATCACGGCGACAGACGGTACCAGCTAAGCGTTTTTCATCTGCGGCCCAAAGGGGCGCGTCACTCGAGAGTTGCTCGAGACCTGCAACTGTGCACCACTGTTTCGGAGGCTATGCAAAGATTTGCGTTGGTGCACCGTCCGTCACAAGTGACGCTAGCGACCGAGAACATTTTCAAAATGAAAGAAGAAAAGGGTGTGGCAGGTTTTTTTTTTTTTTTTTTTTTTTTTTTTTTCCCCCTCCTCATGCGGCAGGCATCTTCCTAGAGGAGGCGTTGGATGGAGTTGAGAGAGAGACGCGGGACACGTGTGGCAAAACAAACACAACTGACAAGGACGATACACCGAATTCGCGTTAAATAACACTCAAATCCCCAATAACATTCAATAGCTTAATAACAACCAACAACTAAATAATCCTCAATAGCATTCCGTGTACACAGGTAAACCCAAACTGACTGGGGCTCAGTCCCTATCCATCGCTAGCCCTAGCCACTAGCTCTAACAACGCCTCCTCAAGCCAATATGGCGTCAACTGGGAAATGTTCTTACGGCTTGTTGCATTGCGACTCGTTGCCCTTTGCTGTGTGGACAGTTCGTCGCTTCTGTCATCGACGTCTTCCCCAAGTTCCTACCATCGTTGTCCTCTTTCACCGAAAGAGCCACTCGACCTCATTGCCGATTGGTTCCAATCTACGCCCAACTCGTCAACGGCGTCTTGGCTATGGTGCGAGCTGCATACGTTCTGTCTCGAAGATGGGGGAGCAGCAGTCCACCCAGGAACTGCTGTGACAGGTTGTTGCAGGTCCAGGCAGCCCCACTCGATTCTTCCGATATTGACGGCCACTCCTCGAGCCTCTTTGCCGACAGCCTCGAAACCGGGCTGTTCAGCTGTTTCTGTCGCGGCAGCGACGCTCGTTTCCCACGTCTTCGCAGCTCGGCGTCCCAACACCCAGTGCCAACTCATCCTCTGGGATTTTTCATCTAGGCCTAGGGTCGCGTGCCACGAGCCTTTCCTCGACTAATCTCTTGCGTCTACGTGTCTGGTGCGCATGTCCTCGGGTTACTCTTTTTCTCCTCGCGCACCGTCGCCGAGCTTCCAAGTTCGGCACGCGCCTTGTGCCTCTCCTTTACTAATCGCATAGAAATAGCGCAATGTAGTCGCGAGTACATTGCTGTCGAAGCTGCAGACTTGAATATAAAGCAAATACAAGCGTCAGTTTAGAACTTAGGGGTCACAGTTGCACGATGATGACGTGATAAACTAGAGGCAGAGCGCACCAGCGCCGATTGGTGCAGCCATGTGCTCTATTTTTCCCTTGCTGCTTGCTCGCTGAATGTGTGCGTGCCGACGCCAGGGGGACGCTTAGTAGATGACGCTGCTCAGGGGAATACA